ATTTATAGAGAGGTCAAAAGTTATATTTTGTACATTGCAAAAAAGGGGAATGCGATCAGGTTGATGGAGAGCGAGAGTTGTCAGATTTAGAGAGAGAGATGCCAGATGCGAGATGATTTATTGATCTTTAATTTTAATTTAATTTAAAAATGGGAATTATCAATTGGATTGGATTTGGGATGAGAATTATCAAAATGAAAAGGATAAAATAGGTAATCAAAAGTTTTGACACTCATACCCTCTTTTATAAGTAGTATAGATGACGTAAGTATGCTAAATTAAATGGTATTTATGAGAAGATTGTCTATTGTGAGCTACAGTCAAAATAGTTGAAACATTGTTAACTAAATGGAGAATTAGAATCATTGTTTCATTGCTTATCAGAATTGGGCATTAGAAAATGTGCCGGTACTCTTCTTTTCATGGATAAGAAGAGTAGATATGAATATGGAGGCCATATAGGATATCATGGATATTGAAGTGACAAGTCACGGAGATAAATGTTTAGCTGACCTTGGAAAATGCAAAACTCTACATACGTTGCATAGAATTTTCAACCTATATTGTAATGTTCATTGTGCTGTAGTACTGAGGAGGAAGGAAAAGGAAAATGCAAGTAGTAGTTCTCATCAAATGAGAAGGTAACTTCATACCCAAGAAAATAATAAATGCGGGCAAGGTTGTTGATCTCATACTTATAGTTAAGATGCACACTTAATCTTTATATTGCTAAGTTATCATCAATGATGGTTAGTCCATGGACAAGGATTTAAAAACCTGAAGGCAAAAAGTGAAGTCTAAGACCTTGCATTAAGTCATACCTTCACCTTTCTGTTCTTTGAATTTAAAATATAAAATTATTCCTAATAAATGTAATAAACAGAACAATAACTAGAAGAAAGTTTAATCAATGGTTTAAAGGGTCTAAACAAATTTTGTCCAGCTTTCCCTGGACATGAATGTCCAGCTCTTATATATAGAGTCTGGTAGCTATCCTTAAGACAACAAACCATATCAAATAAGCAAGGAACTGTTCCAGGTACTGGCCATACTGTATTGCCCGCTATGATGTACTTTGGGAGTTTGGGTTGAAAAGAGCAAGGCAGCTTCTTCATCAGGACCACCATCCATATCCTCTTTTGGGGCAAATGTAAATTCTGTCTTGACAACTGTGCTTATGACCTAGAAAACTCAGTTTGTGGTGTTGGGTTGATTCTTATCTTGCTTTCAGGAAATCCAGTAGAAACCCTTCTCAACGAAGGCTCTAGAAGACTAGAATAATGGTGGTTGATGGAGATGCTTTAGCTAGAGAATTCACTTGTTGTAGTGAATTTGAATTTTTTTTAACTTTTGGTTGTTGCTGAGTGGAAATTACATCAGATGATTGGTTAATCTTTCTTTTACTTAATCTTAAAATTCCTCTATAAAGAGCTGTGCGGTGGAAACTTATCTTTATAATTTCCCTTTTGTCTTCAGACAGCTGCTTTAGATGGGGAAACTGACTTGAAGACGAGAGTTATTCCGTCGGCTTGCATCGGTCTAGCATCTGACCAGCTACATAAAATCAAGGCAACTTTTCTCCTTCCTTTCCAATAGAGGGATATGATAATGTCAAAGTTTGTCTCTGCTTTCCCTGCTTATTATATTTGTTTTCTGGATCAGGGTGTCATTGAATGCCCTAACCCTGACAAGGACATTAGAAGATTTGATGCAAATATCCGGTTGTTTCCGCCCTTTCTTGACAATGATTTGTGCCCTTTAAGCATCAATAACACACTTCTACAGTCATGCTATTTGAGAAATACTGAGTGGGCATGTGGTGTTGCAGTTTATACAGGTCTGTATTTGTGTTTCAGTCTAATATTATTCGTACAGTAGAGTTGATTTGTGTTGTTGTTTTAAGGGAAATAAGTAACCTGGAATCAAATAATACTGTGTTTCATGTGCAATGCAATTTTACAGGTTCTAAAATTTTTCATGTACTTCAAGAATAGATTATACTAGTTGTAGAATTTTGTTATTCTCCTATAAAGCATAGTTTTTCTTGATGAGGAAAAGAAGTGTCCTTGTCCAGACATAACCACATGTTTTAGTGAAGTGTGATATCTTATATATTCCCGTCCAGGAGTTTGTGATACATAGCTTCTCAACTGACTATGTTACCCTGCAGTAATGTTAATATTCATGCGAAGTGTTGCAAAATCTATTATATTTTACTTGGGAGGGATGCATGTTTTGCATGCATGCTGAGGGGCAAAAAGCCACGCAATAGGCTAGTTCGTAAAGAGACCTCTATGTTTCCTACTCCTACACATAAATTAGCTGAATGCCATTTTGTAATCATTATTATGCATTTAAGTACCTAATGCTTTATTTTGTACTTTTCACCATGTGCTAACAACAACAAAGGAGCACCTTATGCAGAAACAGCAATTGACTTTTCTTTTCATGATAGGTTGCACTTAAAGATTGAACAGTTATGAATTTATATATTGCCACATTAATTTGGGCAGTAATGAGGGGTTGAGCATTCAGTATGAATTTTGGTATAGATTCATTTACCGTGGTTAGGGGTTTGGTTTTTCTAGAGGAAAAGAAGAAAAGATTAAACGAGTTCGATGATTTGAGTATAGAGATTAGTTTTAATGTATTACTTATATGGGGTCAACAACTTATGATTTATTCATATGAAGAGTAGGAAAATCAGTAAGGTTTTTTTTATGGGTTCTGAGGTGATACCAAGAGTTTAGACTATTTGGGTTTATGGTTAGGAGAGGAGGAAGAAAGAGTGGAGCGAAAAGAGAAGAACGTTTCAGGAGAACTTTCACTTGAGAATCATCCCACTCACCTAATAACTCACACACACATAGTTAACAATTTGTAAATATTATAAGTTCCAATTTGTCAAGACTATATTCAACCCATGATCTCCCCTCCCATAAAGCTTAGTCAACAAGATTGCAAATTGTTAGCAGAGTTTACATATCTTGTCCAACTATCTTGTCTTTTACACCACTTAAGAAAGAAGAAGAACTATCTTCTCTTTTATTTCTCATAAACAAAGCAACAATCAACCTCAATATGCTTAGTTCACCCATGGAAATATGTGATCCGATAAAATTTTAGTTGCTGCTGATTATTACAATATAAACCCATATCTTCAATGTAGCTCTGTTCAGGCTATAACAATTATAGTTCTTATATTTTTTTTCTAAATTTATCCATGTGCTGAATTGTTACCAAACAGGAGTCATTTTTGTTCCTCTTAGATTTTGTGGAGCAGTGCTCCTTCGAAACACTGGAGTTATTTCGTTACATTATTCTCCTATGTCAATAATTTATTCTTTCGTATCTTCTCATCTGTTGATGTATGGTGTCCTTTACTTTTGAAACATGGATATGCTTGAGTGATGGTAAACTTGGTACCAGATCTATCTGCCAGTGCATGCTAAGACATTATAATATTTATTCTTTGTTTCATTAGAGAAGATACAACACCGTGCTGTCTGATTTTCAAGGCCATGCTAAAGTTAAATTTGCTTAAAGTTGGACTGAGGATCCTCTCAGTGGTGGTTTAGGCATCCAATCAGTAGTTGCAATAAGTTTCCAGCGTTGAAGCTTGTTTATATGTTGTGTGCTGTTAATTAAGTACAAGTGTAATTAAGTGAAATAATTTATTCTGCTTAAGAGAGTTGAAAACTAAGCAGAGTGATACGCATACCTGGAGTTAAGTAACGAAAAGAGAAAGATAGGATATTTCTTGAAGTGCACTAGTACATAGATAGTAATTCGTGGTAGTCAGTGCCAATGTTTTGAATATTGGATATCAGGGAAATATCGAGTGGACCAAAATCCCAAACGGATTGCGGATATCGGGAAATATCGGGAATATATAGTAAATATTGGAGTGCCATATCAAATGATGTGCACATATAATATAGTATCCTAAAAGGTGATCTAAACATACATTAAAGAAATTTTGCAGAACTATATTGTTTTGACAACAAGCTATAAAAAGATATATCAGGCAGCATATCAGCAGATATGTCGGCGATGTTGGGGATAAATCGCCAAAAAATTACCAAAAAACAGTAAAAGATATTAAGACCATAACGTTTTGCAGCAATCTTTATAAAAGGATATATCAGGCTGGGTGGGGATATTTGAAACGATGGTCAATGCTAAAAGGGGCCAAAGTTGGGAGGTCCTTGATACTTGTATCTGCTTGGCGCCAAAGCAATATGTAAACATGTGCCGCTGTTCTGTCTAAGTTGCCCCAGTTAAGTCTTGAGAGTTCTTATTACCAGGAGTTTTTGAGCATATTTTTCCATATATTTATGTTTTTAGTTGGAATTGAGAATTTTATGATTTCAGTCACGAACACCATATTCTCTTCCATTCACCATGGTTTATTGTAGTATTGTACTTTTTTGAATTAGGAAGTGATCTGTTTTTCTTAATTCTAAGAATCTGTAAGGGTTAACTTGCTGTTGCATAGGCTTGGTGTGTCTTATGGCTTTATATTCAGCTCGGATTGCTATTTATCTTCTCGGCGGTCAGATTTCTGATAACATGACATCTTTAGGGAATTTCTTTAGAGTGAAGAGACTACGACAGATAATTGATTCCATGATCGCTGGAGTTGTATCCTCATTCTTGCAAGATGATGAAACCAGTAATGAAAGAAAATTAGGTGAACTAAATCATATTTTCTTAATTGAATAAACTCCTGCCACATTTAGATAAATCTCATTTTACGTATCTGAAAGTTTGTCTTATATCGTTAATAGCAGTCGGAGCACCTGATCAACTTTCAAGTTACTTCTAAACAAAAAAGTACTTTTATTTATCTCATGTGTCATGTGTTAAAAAGGAAATGCAATTTGAAAAGCTGATTGGTTTAATTTACTGTCAAGAGATATGGTTAGATAGATACGTTCTCTAGTTTGATAGGATCTCTTAAGTTCAGCGCAGTGGTCGGAAGTCATCAACTTTGATCAAGAAGCAGGTCACAATTGTGCCTTTTTTTATTGTAATGCATAGATGTAGTAGAGCACCCTTTTGCTTGAAACTTTTCTTACCAAATGAAGATGAATGGATGAATCAAATGCTAAATTCCTTAGTTAAATTTGAAATACTCGTAAGAAGGCTGAGCTTTATGTTGGTTCTCTTTTTATCAGTTGCTTTGGTTTTGTGTTCATAATTTATCTCTATGGTGTTTTTCTGAGTATATGTATCCACAGGATGAGACATAAAGTTGTTTCTGCTTATTGAAATTTGTATTTATTATGTGCACATTTAGATTTGGGCAAATGAGCTGTGAACCTCTGTGAAATTTTATAGCATAGCTTGTGATTTCTAATAAGAATCTAACTATTACTCTCTGACTGGTTATTCTTTCAGGAAACGAAACCAAGCTGGGAATGAGTAGGGGCATCCCAGAGCCTAAACTGACAGCCGTTGATGCAATGATTGATAAGTTGACTGGAGCTATATTTTTGTTCCAAATTGTAGTTGTTATTGTTTTAGGCTTTGCGGGTAATATTTGGAAGGATACTGAAGCTCGTAAGGTAATTTGCACTATTACTTTCTTTTAAAATGCAGTCAAGGGTATTTCCCAATCTACCATGAAGATCGGGGTCATTTGATTCTTGCGACTTGATGGTTGTTTTATTTTCTTCCTGTATTAACTTACCATTTGCACTTATATACAAATTTCATGTGCTTGAGTGAGAAAATTGAAAGCAAAAGGATGCATTTTCCTTTCGATGTGAACAAGTAAAAAGTTTGAAACAACTAAAATTTTTGCATATTACACAACAGTATAAGAAGTTACACGGTGTTGTGTAAACTTATGAAGGATTCTATCCATTGTATAAACATTGATGACACTAACAGCCTCTGAAAGAGATTCATTGTCAACTGTATTTCAGCTTTTGGAAATCATAGGTTACAAGTAAAGCCAAGCACTATTACTGTTAGATTTGAAACAGGTGCTGGAACATGGTGAAAACTCTCTCTTTGTGGACATGACTTTGGCCTCACATTATCGAAATCTTAATCTCTTTCCACCACCTGGCTTTCTATCTCTTCATCTCACATGCATTGATGGGTTGATTAAAATATCTTGTTTTCCTTTATAGAAAAATATAAATTATTTTCTTGTTGTCAGGAATTTGATTTTTTATGTAAGTTCAGAGAAACAAGAATCTGGTTGCCACTGATATGAATGGACTAATTGTCATTACTTCAGGAGATGTGTGTTCAGGGAAGGTAGATGCATGTTTTTTGAAATTAAGAAAAAAAGAGCTGCAGGTTTTTGAGAGAGAGAAAAAAAGGCGTCAATTGTTTTATTTTGAAACATTAACACTCTTTTATCTTGTGTGACGACACCTAGTGAAAGTTATGTTGATTGTTAGTCTGATTGCAACTAATTGAAGTATTACCCATACTAGGAAGTTCCAAAATTTCTAGGGAAGTGATTACACAAGATGGTGATGTACATTTACCACACTGTTCTCAAAGAGAGACACATCAATTAGACAGATACTTGACAGATACAAGGAGCTCTAGGTGGTCTAACATTACTAGCCTTGAACTCGTGAGAAATAAATTTATAGTCTGCATGGGTCCCGACCTTTTATTTGTGTAAGTTGATATTCAATAAATTTAATACATTCTCGAGTTAGTTGTTAATGGTGAACTGTATGGTACTATGGTTGCATGTCATAGTGGTTGTTTATTTTATGTATGTTTTCTTATTAAACGTCCACTTAATCTTGTACACTGGAAATTTTGTTTTTATTCCTATAAATATTCTTGGTAGCTCTTTTTTTTAAGTTTTGGTAACTACAGTGTCTATATGCATGCATATGCATACACACATATTTCTATGTACACATACATACATACATGTACGGTATTTATATGTTCATATGCGTGTATACACGCATGTGTGTATATACATGCATGTATGGTGTACGTATGCATGCAATAACTGGCCATCAACAATCTAAAGGTGGACTTTTACTGTTTTCTGATTACTCATGCATCAAAGCAGCTTAAAACTTAAATTTTTTTACATATTGCTTATAATCTTTGATTTTCTAGACTAAAAGAACTTTTACTTTTACATATTTCTGAATCTTTGATTTGCTTGCCAAACTTAAAGAACTTTTACTGTTTTCTGTTTTTCTCGTTTTAGGCCTTCTTTTTCTTGTTCTTAGTCTTTTTTCTTCAATCAGACAAAAGCATTGCTTATGTCAAGAATGAAGCTAATGCGAGCTTTCCTGGCTAATTAGCTTTAACTTCTTTACAATTCTTTTATCCAGTATGTTACAGATGTAAAAGGTCAAGCACAAAATAACACTACAATTAAGGTAGTCCATTTCTTCAAATCAGTTCCTGGAGCTGAACTTGTAGTGGGTTCTTTTCTTTGTCACTGTTACAGTGGATTTAGGCTCAGATGGATCAATTTTAATGTTTGATTGGCTTCTCATTATATTTCGTATTCAGACTCCTTTAATTGGAAATCTGTTTTGTTGGCTTATTTTTCCTTTTTACACAATTGGCATGCTTACATATTTCGTTATACTTGAATTCAAACTTATGTGGTTGGGTATCACATTAGTCAGGCAATTGGGGTAGAAAAGGTCTATATTTTGATTTGATATTTGTGTCTGGAATTTCAAGGATTACATTGTTACGCTCTTGGATCAGAACTAGGAATTAGATATGTTTTATGTTTTCTAGTTCTCGGGTGCTTAGAGTGGAAATATTTGTTGCATTATTTTTTGCCTCCAATATTAGTTTTATATGGTAGGACCATTATTTTTCTTGCATCATTTTTGACTTCATAAATTTTTAAGAAACTGTACACAAATACTTTTTACTAAACCTGATGGTAGTTCCTTGTCCTTTGTAGCAATGGTATGTTAAGTATCCTATTGAAGGGCCATGGTATGAGCTTCTTGTCATCCCTCTACGGTTTGAGCTTTTGTGTTCAATCATGATTCCCATATCTATAAAGGTATGTCAGTTGTATGTGCTATTCCCTATTTTCCTATTTCCTTTTTATATTAGCATTCCCTAAACAAAACACTCCTTGTGTACTATTTTTTAAACATAATTGCAAGCATACACAGATTATTCACTGTAAACTGCATGATGGACCTTCAAAAATGGATAGTTACGCTACTGGATGAGAAGTGAAATATCTTAATATTAGGGAGGAGAGTTCACTTTTTACCTGTGTGTTAACGACCTGTAAATTTCCTATTAAAAGGTTTTCAAAAAATGGGCAATTATAGAAACTTTGATACTGTCTATTACGCATCACTTCTCTTTCTAGGTAAACCTGTTAAAGATTTTTATTTAAATTTTTATGTGTAATTTAACATGGACTGCATATGAGTTTTTCTCTTAAAAATCCGGAGGTCCATTGTAGAGTATTCCTATGCCAAACACTGCCAATGGTAATTTCGCTCACAAGCAACACAGAATATTGTACAAGGACAAACACACAAGTTATTTATAGTTAGAAATGTGATATTCTACAGATTTTGCCATTGGCTGTAGCAAAAAATGAAACTGGGAGATGTCCATGTTAGATCCCCAGGTTATACATGTTATCAGTGTAATTAACTTAGTCCTATGTTGCTATGGATCTTTAGTAAAATCAACTGATAATGACATTTGTTTCTACATACTAACCTAAGCTGATTGATTCTCCGTTCCGCTGTCCTGCCTTTTAGTTATTATTAGGTTTTTTGTTGCACTTGTATCTGGGAGATATCCATGAATATTAATTGCTCAACCATTGGGACAATCTAGCTAATTATGTTTCTTGGCTAGGTTTGCCCTTTATGATTCATGTTGGTTACAATGGTTTATGGTGAAGCTCCTATATCTATGTAGAATCTACATCACCATGCCCCTTGGACATAAAACACTCCGGAAGCTTTCAAAGTCATTTGTGATCTTTTCTCAGCTTGCGGTTGTTTTTGCTGTAGGTTTAGTACTCTGGAGAAGTTTTTCTTTTTGTTGCAGCGCCTATATGTCCAGTCATGTAGGGTGGCAATGGGTCGGGTCAGGTCAACTATGACCCCACCCATTTAGGCTTGACCCACCTCGACCCGTTTAATAATCGGATCAACCTGTTCCCGGACCCACCCATGTGACTTGTTTATTTAATCTCTCACTTGTATTCTACAAAGTCACTTCCACCAATCCTTCTGATGTCCTTATACAAGTTTGTGGGCTACTGCAATTAAAGGGCTGACTCTTACGGAATTGATCAAAATATCACTCATGGAACAGAGAGAGCTTGGACCTGAGGACAAAATAGAGAAGTGGGTTTACAATTTTTTTTTTAATTTATCAAAAGTATAGGGTATGTACAGAAAAATATTACAGTTTGACTTTATCTAAAAGTGTAGTTTTTAATTTTTTTTTTTGAGATCCCAATTCATCATGTAAGGACTTAAAAAGTAACACAATCCACAATATAAAAATATAATATTTTGATAAAACTTCAAGATATCACATTCAAAGATAGCGTGATAAAATCTACCTAAATTTTCTTTTAGATTCAAATATGTTCTTGATGATAAAATTAAATTTAGGACAGGTATCTCATATCTGTAGTTTACTACTTATTACATAATATCTCATTATATGCTTATATTTCTCTAATTTTGAACTTCCTTTCTAATATAATATTATAGTTTTAGTACAGAGAAACATTACGTCATTTTTAGCTCATTCTTATTGAAAATTTTAAAAACTATGGAATTAGAAGAAGAAATAAAGCATATAATCAGGGGAAAAATAATTTTTACCTTATAAAATTTGAAAAGAGAGAACACCAATGCCTTTTTAAGAACAAGTCAGCACAAGCCAAGAAAAAAAATCCCAAAATAATTAAAACCCTTATCAAATCCCATATCGCTGCCTTTTTAAGAGTAAATCAGCAGAAACCAATAAAAAAATCCAAAATAATGAAAACCTTTCATAGAATCATATGAAATGATTCAAATCCCATATCACTGAAGAAAAAATCCACTGTGACATGAGAAGAAATAGAAGAAGCTCGAGATGACACTAGCAAAGAAAAAATCCACTGTGACACCGTCGTCTCCGCTTGCTGCCAGTGCTCACTGTCGCTCGCCGCTGCCCCTCGTCATGGAATGAGAGAATAGTCAGGGTTTTTGCTACCCAATAACAAGATCAAATGGGTAAAGTTATATGGGTTAAACGAGTCAATTCAGATGGACCCTATTAATAAACGGGTCAGTTCGGCTTGACCCGTTTATGAACCAAATCCGTATATCTTGACCCGTACTAACAGGCATGGTTTTAAATATCGGCCGATAATCCGATATTATCGCCGAGTTATCGGATTTGGGAGCTTTCCGCTAGGATAAGTAGGATTTTTAATCGGTTATCGTTTTTTGAAGTTTCTCGGCGAGTTATTGGCGATAAAGGCACTTATCGGCCGATAAGTAGGCTCTAAATATCGGCTTTATCGACCGATAAGTAGGATTTGGGAGCTTTTACTTTCTTTTGAATTTGCTCTTTGAATGTTTACAAATTATGAGATATTTGTTGCTTTTGGAACTTGGTTGATTGGTAATTGGCTAATGTTTGTTTATGGATATTGATAATGGCTCATAACTACTAAATATCAACTTAGTAAGTTAGTTTATAAATCTCATGATTAAACAATAATTATGTAGATGCGTAGATGGTTCTTCATTCTTGATGTTATCTTATTATTTGCTTGTTTATTATTCCATTTTGACTAACATTATATTTTTTTTCAAGCTTATGTTTGTTTATTATTTGCTAGTATATTACTCCGATAAATACTACTTATCCCCGATATATCCCCGATTTCCGCTATCCGATAAGGATTTTGACCGTCCGATAAATCCCCGATAACCGACATTTAAAACCTTGCTAACAGGCATGGGTCGGGTTGATGGGTCAGGTCAAAAATTGTCACCCCTAGTCCAGTGCCTTAGCTAGGGTGATTGCTAATTTGACTGCTTACATTGTTGTTCTTGTCCTGAACTTTTTGCTTTGGCCTTATAGAGTGGGCCAGTTTCTGAGGACATTTCTTTGTCAAGTGAACCCAATCTGAGTACAACATGTGGACCGTATAGTGTATTTGTTTCACATTATGTTTTGACTTGGGGGAATGAACTGTATAAAATCAGTTCCAACTTGTTACTCCTCCTGCTCTTATTAAGGATTAAAAGTTAAATTGAATTTTCTTCCATATTACTTTTAATATTGTCTTCCCCTGTAAAAATAAACTCAAATTTCTCACTTTCAGTAAGCCAATGCTAAATGCTGACTTGTAGTCATTGTGAAATGCATACTTTTCTTGGAACATCTGTAAAATGATACTCTGCATCTTACATTGCCTGGATTGTTTATTTTCTTTCAGGTTTCTCTAGACCTAGTAAAAAGTCTCTATGCAAAATTCATTGATTGGGATGAGGAAATGTATGATCAGGATACTAATACACCTTCTCATGCCGCAAAGTAAGTTTATTTTTCTTTCGTGTTATAAATGTCGCGTCATCGTTTCTGACCTATAGATTTTTTTTTTTTTTAATTCAGTACTGCGATTAGTGAGGATTTGGGACAAGTTGAGTACATTTTGACTGATAAGACTGGGACACTTACAGAGAACAGGATGATTTTTAGAAGATGCTGTATCAATGGAATATTCTATGGAAATGAAAGTGGTGATGCTTTGAAAGGTCACGTTCTGAATCCTATCTGATAGTTCCATGACACTTCTTAGTTCATCTTTATTATTTTTATTTTTTTGGTAATAACTTCTTTAGCTGATCGACACTATAATCAGGATCATGATATAGTGAAATTGCTCATAATTAAGAGCGGGGGGAAAAGAACAGTGACTTGTGCTCACGATAAAATTTCTATTTTGTCACTTACATAGATATGACCATCTATGCATGTGTTCATACATACTCATACAGACTTATATTGGTAGGTAAACTATGCTCCTTCTAAGAGAAGATTCCTTCTGCTCTTATTTTTCAAGTCATTGAATTTATGATCCATTGTTCAGGAATTAAACATGGGGCAGGGCATCATTCCACCAAAAGAGCAAATCTTGTCATCTCATTTTTGTGCATATATGATGACCACATCAAATGATAGAATAAGCAAGTCTTCTTATCTCTAGAAGAGAAAAGTCCATCACTCTCTCTCTATATTTGTGTGTGTGTGTGTGTGAATATACCTGCATATACATATATACAAACAAAAACTAGTGATATTATATTTTTGTGTATATCAATATATCTATGGTATGAAATAATATAAAACCAAAATTGAAACATGGTACTCAAACCTGCCTACCTGAAGTATGAAAAACCAAAGGTGAAACTAAATTCTTAAACTTTTCGTATCCATCCACTTTGAGAATTCAAAGCCAATGTTGTTTAGTTCCAGACTGGAAGAGAGTCTCTAGATTGATTTGTGAGATTTTTAAATTACTTTAAAATAGCACTTCTTTGTCTTGGAGACTAGAAGATGGCTTAATGGCACTTTACGCCTGATGATGCCAATCCTGCATGCTACAATGCTTACTAGAGGATTGGTTGATCTTTTACAATTGCTCGATTATTATCTTCTTCCAAGTTTCCTAACTTGTCCTCTGACTATTATTCTCTCTTTAGATAGATGTTAAACTGCTCGATGCTGTGAGTAACAGTACCCCTGATGTTCTCAGATTTCTTATCATCATGGCTATTTGCAATACTGTCGTACCTATAAAAAGGTAACTTCCTTTTTTCCTTGTGCTATTCATGTCTGAGATCTTGAAACCATTTTTCTTATTTGGTGAATGTTTTTTTTCCTTTTACTTTCATGATATGCAGTAAGAGCGGGGCCATCTCATATAAAGCACAATCTCAGGATGAAGATGCTCTTGTAAATGCTGCTTCACGCTTGCATATGGTTCTTATGAGCAAAAATGGCAATACTCTTCGTAAGGCATTCTATCTTATTTACATTTTCCTGGAACTGGTGTTTTGCAAGTGTCAACATTTTACATTTTAGTTTTCATTCAGCGTTAAGAGTGTTGGTTCTTCTAAAATGATGTAATGATATATTGCAGAGCTTAAATTCGGCAGCACAATTTTACATTATGAGATACTGGATATACTAGAGTTCACCTCTGAACGGAAAAGAATGTCTGTGGTAGCTAAGGACTGTCAGAGCGGAAAGATTTGCCTCTTGTCGAAAGGAGCAGATGAAGCAATGCTTCCTTGTGCTTATGCTGGTAATTTTGTGAAGAAACTTGGTGTGTTGGCTGCATCATAGTTGGTCATAATTTACTTATTTTGACTGTTAATTCTTAAAACTAGCGTGTCTGTCTGTAATATAAAAGCTGTAGTATGGTATTTTGTATGCATTTTGCTATTTACTCGGCTAAATGGATTGCAGAATGGGGGTGCGAAACTTGGAGTATGACCTTGTTACAGTATGACCAATAGGATGTGACCAAGAAAGCAACTACATTATTGTTGAAAACAATAAGAAGTAATGAGTTATGAATTGTCTAGATTCATTGTACCAACATATTAGGAATGCCTGACTATATGTTTGGGGGTTGATAGGTACTATCAATAAAGCTTCAGTTGTACCTTTTAAAATAATGGAAATGCCATACTCATTTCTCTCATCATGGTAGTGAATCAGAATTGCCTACCATATGACCTTCAAACTCTAGAACTCAAGGCGGTCAAGTAAGGACCACCTCAGCCTTTATATTTGTGTTTTCCCGTCAGTGGCTTCATCCTGCTGGTCCTCAAATGCCTGTTGTTGTTCCTATCAACCTCTCTCACACCATTGACATCTTCCACTGTCAGCATTATTAAAACTGTTGTGACAATTATAAACTCTGGCAGTTTAGTCATGGCTTATAGAGGTGGAAATGAATAGTGTTTGTATTTGTATTCATCTAAAATTTTCAAATTCAAATATGAACTTGAATATCACTCTGATTTTAGTACAAATAATTTCCGAATGTTCACGAATATTTCTCGAATATTATGGTATATTTATGGGATTAGTAATATATAGTTTATGAATATTAAAATATGTAATTATAATGATATCTTAATTTTGTTAAAGAAGTTTGGTTTGAAAACTGACATAGAGCCCTTTAACTTTTGTTAAAATTAGTAGAACAAAAATGTGAATGGGTCAAAAACATAACTTTTCATAACTTGAT